CTGGGTGCAGCCAGAAGGCCCCGCCGAGACGCAGCTACAGGAGCAAAGATAGTGCAGGAGGCTGGCGCCAGTGAGGCCCCTTTGTTTATCTGACAGTTAAATATCAAGGCAGTTGCCGACAAGTTGCCCTGCCTCCAGCCGCCAGGGCTAAGACAAACAGTTTTGCTACAAGAATGCCTCTCTTATCATAAGTTCCTATCTCCCCCCCTTCCCATGGCTCTGATTTTATTTTCTCTGTACTTTTCTGATTCCAGAGTCTCCCCCTCCTCCGTACTCCAGATACCCAATGGATTTTCTCAAACCAACGGGTAAGTAGACTCGTTTTTAAACAAAGTGAAACGCTTGGGTGGGAGGCTGAGCCTTCAGCAAAGACTCTCTCGCTATCGCCTGTCGCCGTCCTCCCTTACACCGAACGGTGGTTTTTATGACGATAGGACTGCTGTTATTTTGCCTTTTTAGCTCTTAATTTGCTGCTGGCTTAGAGAGTTAATCGGAAGGATTTCCCATTAAGATAAGTGAGCTAGACTCCTACCTAAGAGGACTGAGGTTTTTACAGGGCTGTTCTTGTAGATTCCTGTTTATTGCAGGAAATCCATGTTCTAAAGAGCTCACACCTGGGTCAGCAGGGGTAGGATTGCAGTCAAAATCTATAAATTATACGAGATGCACTCCGTTGATTTTCTAGGTGTGCCTTTGGTGCTAGAAACTGAAATTCCTTTTTTAGTTCATCAGTTCCTCTTGAGATGCAGTAGTGCATCTGCACTTTGATATGGCCTTTTACAGTTGGAAGGGGGACCTCAAGGGTCATCTAGTCCCACCTGCTGCATTATGCAAGGGTACTATTTAAATCGTCCATGAGAGGGTTTGTGGCTGCTTACCTACGAGTAAGCTCGGATGAGTTCTTTGAGAGAGTCTGCCAAGTTAACTGACGGTAGGATTGCAGCTGCAATCTTCAGATTCTGCCTTTGAAAAATGACTTCATAATCTGTTAAGATATAAAATGAAAATTCATAGCTCCCTGTCGACTTTTTTACCTATAATAACTGGAACATTTGGGATGTTTATTTTTTTTAAAAAAATGGTTAATAATGGAAAAAGTGAATTTTGAGTAAGGTGGATTTCCTGAAATATTCTGTTTTATATTTCATTTGGTGCAAACAGTATTTTGAAAAAATGCAAAGAGGCACACGGATGTTTTTAGCACACTTTGCCCGGCATGCTTGTTGCTTGTAATTGAGTGGCAAGCCGCCAAGGTAGAAGCCCGTTTGAGGCTGGCACCAAGCGCTCTTGCGGTTGTCTGCATAAACTTTTGGCTGGCAGCGGGCTCACCCTCTGCTAGATAAATAGGCTGGCATTGTAGAAAAGAGGGAGGGGGAATCAGAAATGTGGATGCAGTCAAAGGGGGGAGAAATAAAATTCCACAAAGCCACTTCATATCTCTTCTGACGATTAATGGACCAAAAATACAGATTACAGAGAAGTTGTTGTCTGTACTGATTACACCCTAATGTTAGGCAAGGCAGTAAGTTGGGCATGGCTTAAAAGGAGAGGCTTACAGACTCATGCATGTCACCTACCTTTCCCCTCCTTACCTATCCAAGAAAAGACAATGATTGCTTTGTTTTCGGGATCTGATTAAGCTTGCCCAATTTAAACGGGCCTTGAAAAACGTTGGGCACTCTTGACAAAGTGACCCATCTTTGATACTATTTTACGTGGTGAGTTCTTTGGCATAAGGGACCATCCCAAGGGAGGATAGTAGAGCTGGGGTTGTCTCAAGTTTATCCGGCAGGATTGTTGGAAAATTACAGATAGATGGAACACTTAGACTGCTTGAAAGGGATGTTCAGATCTGTCCTTCTAAGAAATATTTGGGGTTAACAAGTTCCTAAAGTTTGGTCACACTGTTGTATGACCAAGAAAGAGGACCCAGAGTGGGAAAATATGCTCCAGGAATGAGTCATTTTCTTGACAGTTGGGATTATGGGCATTCAAGGAAAAATGCTGTGTTTATTATAGCTAGCATGTTGCCTGAGAATTTTGGGAGCTGTACACGTAGTCCTTGACTTACGACCATTCATTTGATGACTGTTTGAAGTTACAACAGTGATGAAAAAAATGACTTACAACAGGTCCTCATACTTGCGACTGTTGCAGCACCCCATGGTCACGTGATCAAAATTTGGGCGCTTGGCAACTGGCATGTATTTATGATGTTTGCAGCATCCTGGGGTCACACGATCGCCATTTGCAACCTTCCAAGGGGGCTTCTGACAAGCAAAGCCAATGGAGGAAACTGGATTCGCTTAACCACCACGGTGATTCACTTAATGACTGTGGCAAAAAGGTTGTAAAATTGGGTGTGACTCACTTAATGACCGCATCGTTTGTGATGGATGTTCCGGTCTCAACTGTGGTCATAAGTTGAGGACTACCTATAGTACCAGCCCATCTTGAATGCACCAGATTGGGAAAGAAGTTTAACAACCTCCCTTTATTTTCTCTCAAGTAGGTGAGTGGGTAGCATTCATTCTGTTGGTCAGTTGCAGAAAACCTGTTCATCTCTCTTGCCGTGGGGTCACCTGTGTTTTCTGCAGTGGAGTTCCACAAACTCTTTCTACTGTACGTTGGGACTCCGTCATCACCTTACTTTCATGAATGATTGTAACATTTTCATGAGCTGCACTGCAGCAGATGAGCCCCCTGAGAGCTCATTTCAGAGATCTGGATTGGATCTACCATTTATCCATGATTTCCTCCCCTTGTGAAATGAGAATGGTGCTTGACAAATATTTTTTCCAGGGCAAACAATTATAGTTTCCATTGTTCTGTTAAAGGTGGGGTAGGGTCTGCGCCCAGGGGTACAGAGAGAGGGGAAAAGGCGAGTGAGCGGGGAAGATTATAAAGTTGGACATATAGCAAGGAAATATAGCAAGGGAGGTGCTGCCAGACTACAATTCCCAGCATCCTTGCCGTTGGCGACGTTTGCTGTGGGTAGTGAGAGTTGTAGTTCAGTAACATTGCCTATCATGAAACAGGTATGTGATGTGTTTCTACTTGGTTGTGGCTTTGTAAACTTTGTGTTGTGACTTGGGCAGAAGTATTGCAGCTGATCAAGCAACTCTGCCTTGGGAATCGGCAGATCTGGATCTTCTGGTAGATCACTCTGATTTGCAGTAGATCACAATGAATTTCTGGCTATAGCAACAAGGCTGCTAAAATGAAGAGAATTTGGGGAGGAGATTTTTTTTCAGTGAGAGGCAAAGGATATGTTTTTGGTGCACTCAGAGGGTACCTTGTTCTGATTGGATTCATGCATTGTGTTAAACTGGGGTTTGCTTAAGGTAGGATTTATTGTGTAAATCACAGTTGGCTAAGATTCACACCACAGCTGAAACCAAATGAATGCAAAGGGTGAGTGAGGTCAGGTTCTCCTCTTGCTGAGCAAGAGGTTAGTGTTTGGTAAGTGGTCTTGGTGAATCTTCTGGGTAAAAAGCTGAACAGATTCCAGAACTCTCAACCTGTCCTGTGGCTGATGGCCATCTGAGATCAGATGGTGCTTCCTGCATCTAACCTACTTGATAATGGACAATTCAGACTGGCTTTGCCTTACTTTGATGAGCTTTGTAGGAGAAGGAGACCTCCCTGGAACCACCAGGAGATCTTCATCTGATCCTGTGCTTATTTCTTCTCAGTCTAGTTCTTCTGGATTCATTTGAGTTTACTGCTAAAGAATTCTCCAAACCCAAACATCTGTGCTTGGAGTTACTCTATATGAAAATACACAAGAAAGACCTAACTTTCTTACATCTTTGATAGCTTTATCAAGGTGGTGTACACAACACTCATTTTTCCAGGTTCACCCCATGACATCAACTTTGAGAGGGAGGGTAGCCTGAGGGAGTGGGCTGGCTTAGGGTGGATTTGAACCTGGGCCTCCCCCACCCTAGCCATTATACCATATTGGCTTACAAGTAAAAGTGGTTAAAGTTTGGGGGTTTGGAGGTTTTAAGGAAAAACATTTTTCTTAGCAACAGCTGTCTCTGTTGCATCGAACTAAGTAAATTTGAAAAGTCTGGCCAGTAGCCAGCCACATTGAAAAAAATGGCAGAGGGGCTATTATTTTTACTTTTGGAAAAGATGCTAGGATAACCCTACGAGCAGGCGTTTAAACCTCCATCCTGCTGTATACCAGGCCCTCCTTCTCAGTTAGGAGAGTGATATTTATTAAGCAACAAACGGTGTGTAAACAGTAAAGAAACCACAAGCCTTGACGATGCCGTTTTGAAAGGAAAAGTTCCCTGTATCGGCTAATGGGAAGTGATTAATAGAGCCAGTCGGAAGTGTAAAAAAAGCAAAGGAGCGTCCGGACGTCTCCTTCCCTTCCTTAAAGTCCATTTGGCAATTGAACCCTGAATAGAGTTGCGCAGGCAACTGGGAGACAAAAATAATTCATAAGTCTGTCACTGCAGGTGGTTATTATAACCTCTGACTCTCATCAAACTTCCTGTTTAATCAAGGCCATTGTGAGGAGAGCAAGAAAGGAAATTGTATGCCTTTATTCCCTTGCAAATTCTGCGAGGAGTTCTCTTTCCCCATGTGCTCGAAACCCAAAGCGTGTTGCTAAAATGGTTTGATTTCACAGGGACAGGCCATCCTGGGCTTTTTTTCCTGCATAGGAGCAATTCCGGGTGGCGTACAACTAAGCGTGTTTTGGAGATTCAAAGTTCACTTCCTTAAGCCGGGTAGGATATGAAGCTGTTTTCTCTTTTTTATGGAGCCCTATTAACCATACGGAGGAAAAGCAATCTTAGCTATATAGAAGGGCAGATAGCGATTAGCTAACACATTTTTAACTCTGCGAGACGCCAGTTATAACAAACGGGGTGGATTTAATGAGGTAGCATTTGAGGTGTGTGAAAGGGTGAACTTGGCGTTCAGGAATGGTGAAGGATGAAGCTGAGATTTCTGGACAGGGATGTTGAGAGGATTTCAGAAGAGTCAAGATGATGGCCATGATCAAAGCTGGTCTCTTGACTGTTTTAGACCCCTTGTGGACCCCCGTTTCCAGAGCTTCAGAAATGGACATAATGTGGAATCTGAAGAGTTGTAGATGTGTGATGTATTTTCAAATCAGGGAATTTGAACCCTATTTCAGCTACACTCTTGAGTTTAACAATTCCAAACTTTTACAGCAGTGTTTTTCAGTGTTGGCAACTTGAAGATGTGTGACTTCAACTTCCAGCATTCCCCCGCCCGCATGTCTGGGTGG